CCCCCCCCCCCTAAAAAAAAACTTAAATTATGCATTGTCTTCAATACAAAAAAAAAGATATCTATGTATATATATATATAATGAGAAAAATGAAGACAATAAGGACAAGAAAAACACCTTGTACTTAATTCTATAAAGAAAAATCATCAGCTGCAAGACAACAAAAAAAACTATACAAAAAATGGGTAATTAAAACAAAATAAGCTATACATAAAAAGAAATAAACTAACTACTCTAAATTATGAATGAAATAAAAAGAATATGCAAACACAGGATCAACCAGTTCTTCCATAACCTCCTCAGATGAAAAGCCTTCTAAGAATGATTTGAGCTGATGTCCATTAACTTTAAAAATTTGATCATTCTTAGGATTTTTGAATTTCTATGGCCCCACTCTGATAGACGACACAAACTATATAAGGGTTAGTTCATTGGGAATGTAAATTCCCTAGAAAGATGTTAAGACAAGAATTGTATAAGAGTACTTTCTGACCAAGCTTAAAGGTCTTTCTTAATATTGATTTATCATGAAAAATTTTAACATTTTCTTAAGATTAATATTGACACGAATATTACATGTATCTCTTTGGTGTCACACTCTTTGTAGTCTCTATCATGTGTCATTGTAAGTTATCCTTGTTTGCCAAGTGTCATTCTTTGATATATCTTTTTGGTGTCATACTTTCATGTATCTCTTTACTGCCACACTTTGATGTATCTATTTGGTGTCATTCTTTTTGTAGTCTCTATCATGTGTTATTGTGTGTCAACTTTTTGTACTTTTTCAATAAAGAGAGAAAATAAGGGAAGAGAAAACATATGCAAAGAAAGAGTAATCGTACCTTGAATACATAAGGGAGAGAAAGAGTTTATAGGGGGAGAGAGTAGAGAGAGAGAAAATAGGAGGAGGGAGAATGAGAGAGTAATGATGATAAAAAAATAGAGAGAGAATAGGAAGAGAAAGTAACTGTAAGAGAATATAGGGAGAGAGAGAGAGAGTATAAGAAAAAATGTTTAAAATTCAGACAAATGATACAATCAAATTAAATATTTACATATTTAAAAATAGAATAAACTATCAAACAATTATGTATTATTTAAAGAAGAATAATTAAGGAATACAAAAAAAAAAAAAATTGAATTGTGTACCAAATAACAAGAAATCTATATATAAAAAGACTTAATAGCATAAAAATCTTAATTATAAACTTTCTCATAAATAAGTCTTAGAAAATATATCCATACCCAATTTTTCTTAACTAAAATTGGCTATGCCAATGAGCCAGTATATTCCTTTTTAGCGATAATAATACGCGACATACGTCACCTTACTGTGATGACATCTCATAATTGAGCCATTCAAAACACACGTGGAAGTTTAGGATTAAAATTCATGAAACTAAAAAAAAAAGTTTTGAGGGGCGAAGTGAGAGTAGGTGAAACTCTGAGGGAGCAAAGCATAACTGACGCTGGCCATCTTCTAGTAGCTATTATATGGGAAACAAAAGGTCATTTTCGTAAATTAATAGTCCACGATAATAACCGGTAAAACGCGGAGAGTTCTTTCAAGAGCATCTTACCTCTGTTATGGCTTTATGCCGATTCGTTTTCTATAATTCTCCATTTTATCGCCACCCGTTGCAGGTGTTCGTCAACCCTAATTTTTCTCACCCTTATTTCCCTTCCAAATCTACAAAATTTACCATCCTGCCACGCCTGAGTCTAAGAAGTTTCTCTCCGATCTCCAGTGTTTCTGTTTCTTCACAGTCATCTTCAACCATGGAAACCCTTCCTGAAGGTTACAGAAGAAACGTTGGTATTTGTCTCATCAACCCTTCTAAAAAGGTCAATCCCATAATCTCTCTCTCTCTCTCTCTCTATCCATGTGTGTGTGTGTCAGTGTATTTCTGTATGCTAACGCTTTTAGTTCAAATGCTGCAGATTTTTGCTGCTTCAAGACTTGATATACCTGATGCCTGGCAAATGCCTCAGGTAATTCTGGAAATTCCAAATGTGTTTAACGTTTGGGCTTGTTTTTCATTACAAAGGAATCATGTTGATAAATTGATTTCTTTTTTGGGCGATATTCTTGAAAATGTAGGCTTCTTTGTGTTTCTTTTTTATTATCTATCCATACTGCAAGCAAAAGTCGATGGAGGTTTTATATATGTTTACGGATATAGCTATATCTAATATGACACCACTTTTTAGCTAATAGTTGGTTTAGCACTCCACATATATGTGAAATCTTAGTTCTTTGTCCAGTTTACCTCTTATAGGTCTTAAGACTCTAGATGATACTGTCTTTTTTTTCCTTGCAATTTTTGGACTGCCTGTGTAGTGTAATACATATGTGGGCCTGTTAGCTAACATCAACTGTAGTTGTTGAATGACAGAGCTCATGATTTAAAGTACAGGCAATTTTTTTTGTTTTATTTATGGGATGGGGTTATGTCATTTGTGTTCATCACAGTTTAAGAATTCATTCTTACTCTTTGACCTAAAGTTTTTTATGCTCGAACTTTGAGGATTTTTTTCATGTAATGTGTCTTTACATAGAAGATAATAGTTTTTATAATTTGTTGCATCTCAGTATGACAGCTTCTTCCGAACTGGTATATGAGCATTGTCGGTCTCTGTACTCATAGTCAATAGGTTTTAGGTTGGAGGCTCTTTAACAAAATCTTTGTTTTCCTTTTCAAGTGTTTGATTGAAGCTTTGGGGAAGAAAAGAAAATTATGAAGTAGCAGGAACTGTATTCTATTTCTACTGATGCATAGACCATAGAATATGTGTGTCTATATTCAGATATTTCTACGTGGTTTTAGGGTACATTGCATCGACCTCCCTTGTTTTAATGTCTAACTACCACATCAGGGTGCACCTTATCCTTCTTTCATTGAAAACAAATGTGGACAATGATTGAGCGGTAATTGTTGGAGTTCTAGTTTCATACACTTCCTTTTCATATGTAGTCCAAACTCGTATTCTCATCATAGTTGTCAAATCGCGATTCATATCGTGAATCGGATCCTAAATTTGAGAATTGTGAATCATAAGATTTGATAAAAATTTTGAACAAAAATAAAAAATTATAATACATATTTAAAATAGATAAAATATTGAATATTGAACATTGTTGCATTCTAAAAATAATCAATTGACATAATCACATCGTCTAAATGGAAAAATGCTAGTCTTTTGCTTTATTTTCATCTTTTATTTAACCATTTTCAAATTCAACAACTTTAAAAAAAAAAAAAATTTAATTAAAGAACCATGGCTATTCAAGAATCAAAATAGTAACACTTAGTATAAAAAAAGAATAAATAAGAAAATTGATTGGGATAAAACATACAGATTAATATTTTGAAACAAAAAATTAGAATCTAACAAACTACCCATGAAAGAATCGAGAACAAAAATCAATCGATGATACGAGAGCGTTAGTCATGACCTTTAGCTCTAAATAATGCTAGGCGAGATTTAGACGACATTAGAGAGAGAACGAGCTAAGAGGTTGAGTTTTTATTAGAGTGTGGGTTCCTCTACAAACAAAAACAACACCGTTTTATTGTTTAGTGGACAAAATGACGTCGTTTTGCCAAAAATTTGAGTTTTAAAAAAAAGTGATTGAATTATGCAATTCGGGCAATACGAATTGAATCGTACGAATCAGAAGGTTCAGGTGCGATTCAACTCTAAAACGATTCTCATATAAGATACGAATCGTTTTGTATATGTATCAAACCAAATCGTACAAATCGAATCACGAATCGTACGATTTTGATAACTATGATCCTCATTATCAGACTATGATATGTGAGACTCAGCGGTGATTAGTTGGAGTTCATATCGGCCATCATGCTTGTTCCTAGTAGCTAACAAATGCTTGGTTGGATTTTAGTAAAATTTACCATATTGTCATGTATTTTTCTTAAAAATTCCTTTTTTTTTGGTTTTTTTTTTTTGGGGGGTGGGGGGTGGGGAGGAGGGATGAGGTTTGAACCCGCAATCACCTGCAGGTAGGAGTGACACCCATTTACCTTGAGCCATGTTCTATTGTAGAAACTTCATAGCTAACTCCATTTGCTTGATGCATCTTTCAACATCCATTGAGTGAATGCTTCAGGAATTTTAAAGCTAGAATGAGCCAAAAGCATGCAATGCAGAAGTAGAAAACTGATTACCTCACATGTTAAAACTATTCATCAAAATCTCTTCAAAATTCATCCCTCTCCGCAACTTAAAGCCTTTCACAATCACAGCCAATGAACCCCTATAAAATGTGGTATTGAAGTCAATGCTGCTTAATCAAGTTTGACCAATGATGATCTCACTGTAGACATGCATTGTATTTAAAACTGCGAGTTCTTATTATAACCTTCTCCCATATCTTCATCATTGGATAAGGTATCAATTCCTCATGCTGGTGCAGTATAATTTTTTGGAAATCCTGATAGTGGATAGAACCATAATCAATTCTACTTGGGGGCTGGGGAGTAGGAAATTCATTTCTCAAGAGAAGCAAGACTTGTTTGTGGTAACTTTTGTGTGTAATGATGAGTGTTATTCAACCATGGCTTCAATGCCATTTTGTTAACAAGGTGCTATCTAGGCCTCTTGGAGCACTTTCCGAATCCTTCAGGCACCTTCAGTCACCGTATCCTAGATGCATCTGGTAATTTTGGAGATTAATGCCTGTAAAATGACCATAAAGCAAAATTTGAGCTTAGGACCTCCAGCTTACAAAGTAGACGCCTTACCATCTCATCTACCCCTTGGCATTTGTAATCTTGCTCCTAATTAAATTTTGCAAATCTTGGAATTTAGGAGTTCAAGTTGTGGCTGTTGCTAGAGTATTGTGACATTGGTCGACTTTGCATAATCATTCCTGTATGCTACTATGGGATTTGGATAAGTGCTCCAGAGCTAATGTTCATTGGCTTCCAGCATTTACATGCCAAGGCTGTTTCTATCTTCTAAGGTTTTGCACTTTTTTCTGAAAACTGTGTGAAACCGTAGAAAGTTGAAAAGAATCATGACAGATAATACACTTGATAACTAGTGATATTTTCTCTTCTATATTCATATTACAGTGGAATACTGATGAAATACTATGTTTTTATGAGTCTATGATTTGTTTTCAAAGGTATATATATTTTATTGTTAATTATTTAAAATTGCACTGTATCTTACGACACACGATATGATACACTATTTTTGAAAAACAATACGCCTTCCGATACTCGATTTTACAACTATGATTAGAATGAATTCAAAAATATATATATATATATATATATATATATATATTAGAAAATAATTTTCAGAACTTACATGCCCCTGCTCTAGTTTTATAGCTTGACTTGTACTTCTTTGGAAAATTTTCCTTCCCTGTTTATGAGATGGAATGAGGTATGACATAGACCTTTATTTAACAGGGTGGCATTGATGAAAATGAAGATCCAAGAAATGCTGCCATCAGGGAACTAAGAGAAGAAACAGGAGTTACATCAGCAGAAATTCTTGTTGAGGTTTGGATTCTAGATTGACCAATTTTTGCATTACAAATTTTGGGTTGATATGGTAGGCTTTTGTAGAGCTCCAAGTAGTATGTTGCTACCAGACTGAATGAAATTAAAGAAAAGAAACTGCTGAATAAAGCACTCATTTTTTTGTTTTGAGTGTATTTTGTCTCTCTTCTTTCTTAGTCTTCTGCTGAGTTTTATTTGTGAGCTTTCACGGAGCAAAAACCTCAAATTGAAAAGCCATAGTGGAACTGAGATTCCTTTTTAATTTTTTGGGAAAGGAAGAAGGGCTTTTGTTGGGAAAGCAGGGAACAGAGAGTCTGTGCTGGTTCCTTTTCTTTTTGGAGTGGGGAGTCAGCAACCTCCATTTTGAAGATGCTATTGGTTTCATGCAGAGGGTCAAACATTCACTGACGCCATCTATATAGTGTAGTTTTTCTATTCCTTATTTTCATGTAATCAGACTTGGTGAAGAAACTGTTTACCCCATCCTTCCTCCATTAGAGTGTTTCTGTCTGATGTATGCATAAGGAGCTCAAATATCTTCTTAAGTGAAGATATGAGTGGTCTCTTCTCTGCCGAAAAATAATTTCAATACTTAAGAACTTTGTTCTTATGGGAGTGACATTTCTCCGATTTGCAGCATGGATGTGAGGAAAATCTATCTTTAAGTAGTCGGAGATCCATTAATGGAAGCCACTTTTTCAAAATACAGTTCAATGCTTCTACTCTTTTATTTTTTCATTTTTCAATATAATCAGGCTTTGAAATCTCTAGAATAACATAGAGAGACCATGTAAGGATTCCTACTTTGATAGTCTATTATCTAACTGACTTTAGGAGATTTAAAGATTTTACTGGACTGAACTCACAATTAACACAGATTAGGAATCGTCTGAGATTCAAATAAAGCTTCCTTCTCCAAGGTCTATTCTTCCTATGATTATTCCCTCCCCACGGCGTTGTCTGATATTTGTACCCCTTAGGTTTGATACCATCCAATTCAACAAAGGAGATTGCTGGCCGGGAGAGAAAGAAATAGGACACTAAATATGAACATAATTTTCGGCATTGTGGTGCATCTTTCGGTAATTTACAGGGAAACTAGAACCTAGGATGTAGGGTTGGGGCCCATCTTATTTCATGTTGAATAACACTGCAGCTTTTAGGTGGTACACACTATTCTGAAGATCACACGAGGATACACTTGCAACCCACTTGGATGAGGTTTGGGTCCCTGTGAAGGAGAAATTAGAAATCTTGTACGATTTCTTTTGCCTTTTATTTAAGTGATAAATAAGAGCTTTTCCCAAATTTATTTGGGAAAAGATCATACTAATAAGATTAGTGCCCTTCACAAAAGGTGATTTGATGCTGGATTTTTAGCTGTTAGAGTTTCTTTACATGGTCTGGCACGGGAGAGATAAAGTTGCACTGTACATGGTGTTATGTATAAATTCCTTGGTACAACTGCATATTTCTGTTTGTGGTATGTGATGTGAAAGAAGAATTGAGACATGGCTCTTGAGTTTATTGAGGTTCCCTATCAAAGACTTATCTTGTATATTTAGGTTACATACTGATTGCCGACTATGTTGTTTCTTCTAGTATTTCAATATGAAGTCTTAGCAGCTCACATTATTCATTTGTAGATTGATTTTCTCTTTCCTTTTCTTTAGTTTTTTTTTTTCAACTCAGTCCCTTACAGCTTAGCTGATTTTTAATGTTGGATTCTTGTGCAGGTTCCGTATTGGTTGACTTATGATTTCCCACCAGAGGTCAGGGAAAAACTAAATCACCAATGGGGATCAGACTGGAAAGGTCAAGCACAAAAGTGGTGAGCGCACTGGGTAATCATTTTCTTTTGAGATGCATGTCAGATATTTGCTGTCAGGTGCAAAGATATGACAGAGGCTTAATTTGTCAGGGAAACAAACCGAATTAATGATTCTAAAACAAAGATCCAGTTACTACTTGGTTAAAATTTACCAAAACCTTGAGCACCTAGTCCACACAAGGTTCTTACTTCTCACTTCTAGCAGCTTTGATCTGCGGTTCATATTTTCTCAAATAGTTCTTGAATTTCATTTCTACAGCTAAAATTCTAAATTAGTAACTCACTATTATCTTGTATGAAGCACTTCTGTGAATCCAGCTTGGGAGTGGATATGAGCCTAGCATGTGTTGTCATGCATAGCAAGTATCAAAGTGATTGGATGCGGATAATTACCCGGTCCACCAGCTTTTGTTCTTCTCCGATATGAACTCTTTAAATGAAAACGTTTAGTGAGAAGTGAAAGTTCTTGATCTTCAATTGCAGCATGCAAAATAAGTATAGAACGACAATTTAATTTGACACAGCTTGGTGAAAGAGGGTTTCTACCCTGAGGGGCTTAAGATTGTAACTCTATTAGCTGCACTTTTTTGGATGCATGAGTTTATGTGGAAGTGTGTTGTTCACGTGCTCCCGTGTTTTTTTTTTATTTTTTTATTTTCCTCTTCTTTTGATTCCTTACCCCTACAGTTGAGTACTTGAGTTTGTACACTGGAGTCAACATCCACAACCAAAATCTTTCTTCGTTAACCCAACATATGTTAAATGGAAAAGTGATTGCACGCCTTTTTTTTTCAGAAAGAGCATTCCTCCCTTCACTTTTAGTTGTGGGGTGGATTTGTCTGTTTTTGTCATAAAATCAACCATTTGGTTTTCCATTGCACAACATTATCTACCTTCTGTAATTTCATTTAATTTTAATCATGCAAAAGTACAGGTTCCTCCTTAAATTTACAGGAAAGGATGAAGAGATAGATCTTTTGGGTGATGGAACTGAGAAGCCTGAGTTTGGAGAGTGGAAATGGATGTCACCGGAACAAGTAGTTGATCTGGTGGGTGCACCTTGTTATCTTGAATATTATGCTCGTCTAATGCCAGCATTCTGCTCTGGTAATCTGTTTCAAACAGGTAGTCTTGTTATCTAACTATAGCTTTTACCCACATTTTCTGTGCAGGCAGTGGATTTCAAGAGGCCTGTTTACAAAGAAGTTTTGACAGTTCTCTCCCCCCATCTTGAATAAAGTTCATGATGTTCGAATTGCATAGTTGCCCGAAATGGATGCTATTATGACTTCATTTTGTCAAGTAAAAAGCCATGGCAACGTGGGCTATACAACAGAGGCAACCAGGTACAAAAAGCTACACGGAACTGATCAGACCTATGTGGCATACTGAAAATCTTGTTGGGAGGATGTTTCTTTCTCTTCCTGTTGTTACTTGGTGCACGAAATCGATTCTCACTGGAAAGTAAAGTTCTCTAAGACTAGTTATCAACTTCAAGTTTTGCTTATCTGGCCGAAGACTACTTGTTATCAACTGCAAGTTTTGCTTATTTGACCGAAGACTACCTGTTATCAACTGTAAGTTTTGCTTATTTGGTCTTTGGTTTTACCTATCCCATCATAATGGTTGAATGGCTCCTGGCATAAGGATTGTACCCAGATGTTTCAAAATCCGTTCAGCATAACATTCGTTGAGCTATAGCTGGGTGGGTTTGACTCAGGTTGACATTGGGTGGTAAGTTGTTGGGCACTCCATTTATTTGAGTGTTTTCTTTTCGAAAATGGGGGGCATGGCATGTATAGCTCTTTAAAATAGTGAAAAAAATTAAATCAAATTAAAAACAAATCATTACCAAGTTGTGGATAATGGGAACAAACTCCACATATGCATCAAAGTCGAGCAAAGCCTAAATCAAATAAGGTCCAGGAAAGGAACTGAATGTCCAGCCAACTGGACCATGTGACAACTGAAGCACTTGACTTAGCCTTCAGGCCAACAATGATACCTTTGGCAAGGGATTATACCTCCCATGGTGAGTACCTGAGTTCAAGTGGGAGAGGAAAATTAAATACCTAGTAGGGGCTTCCAAATAACAGAATCAGGGCATCTCATGTCAGTCAACGGTTTTATGTACGAGGTTCCCAATATTGCAAGATAAAAAACCTCTGATAGAAATGTTTCAGCAAGAAAAGAGAACTTTTTATCATTATACTTGACTAAAATTGTGAAGTACTATAAAACTGAACGGTCAAATGGGTCTATCTCCATGAGATTCAAAACTGCAAATGCAAAAACCTCCTTAGAATCAAATAAAAGTTTTGTAGGCTAAAAAGGCAGCCGTGCCACAGTATCTTGATGCCAATGCCTTTCCAGAAGAGGTTGGATCAGAGAATGCCAGCTGAGATGTCTTCAGTGCAAAACCCTTGCAGAAACTTATCCTGCAGAAAGTTTGACAAACACATAAGAATAAGATCAATCAACTGGGGTTCTAATTTATGTCACGACTATGAATCGACCGGGGGCACTTGCGTAAATGTAAATGGTGCCTCAACACCAAATAAGATCAAAAGAGCCTGAAAAAGCAAATGGTGGCTGCTGGTAGAGTGCTGTCATCGGAACACATGCCTAATAACCCACTTTATCAAAATCCACTACTAAGCCACTTATAAAATGTCCTATCACTTGTCTCAGCTCCATTTGCCATAATAATAAGAATCAATTCCGGAAAAATGACAATAATAGTGGGTGAAAAATTAAGTTGTGGTGATACAAGTGCTTCCCTTAACTCCTGAATCAACCTGACAGAAAGAACTTCAACACCTGATTTTTAGAGAAAAAGCCGATACATGCACATATCAAATTAAATGTGACATGCTATCTCTTAGAATTGGAAAATTCTCCAATGGAAGAACTTGAATCAGCTATATGACTGCTAAAATTCACGTATGTTCGCCACAGTGGTGTACAAAAGAAATAATCCTGGCTTTTTTCTCTTTCTAAACTCCTCCTTTTGGTATCATTGAGAACATAATCTCATCTTCTGAGTCTGGTAAAGGAGGATATGCAGGTGACTTACCATTTGTAATAAGCAGTCCAAATTCAGGTACACAACTCAGATGTCAGCTATGATTTGCATATGGGCATCGGAGTGGGAGCAACAGATTGGAACTACAGGGGTCAACCAACCAACGGAAAAGAACAATTTCTCGTGCTGAAAAATTGCATTATGTGTAATTCACATGGACGGTTTGGAGAAAGAAATCTACAAGAAAAATATGTTGATTTTTTGGATCTAAACATGTTCCAAAATTTTCAATTAGCACTAGCAATAGATCAAATAATACTATTAAATGAGTTACAAGCTAAAGTTTGTGCTAGTGAGAGCTCACCTTGCAGCATCCAACAGTTGGCTGGCTATGCGTTTCTTTCTCATGGCTGGTGCAACCCAAATGACTCTAATCCCACATAGAGCAGTTACGGCTTCTTTTTCGAGAAATACTGCTCCCATGAGGTCTGCTTCTATTGGCTTAGGACTATTTGCCAAAGGAGCCCCTTTCACAGCTTCCCTCTGAAAACTAATATCTCCAAACTGAAGTGCTGAAAAATTTAAGCTATTTTTCCTTGCAGTGGTACCGCCAAGGCCTTTTGACATNAGGGCTTTTGTTGGGAAAGCAGGGAACAGAGAGTCTGTGCTGGTTCCTTTTCTTTTTGGAGTGGGGAGTCAGCAACCTCCATTTTGAAGATGCTATTGGTTTCATGCAGAGGGTCAAACATTCACTGACGCCATCTATATAGTGTAGTTTTTCTATTCCTTATTTTCATGTAATCAGACTTGGTGAAGAAACTGTTTACCCCATCCTTCCTCCATTAGAGTGTTTCTGTCTGATGTATGCATAAGGAGCTCAAATATCTTCTTAAGTGAAGATATGAGTGGTCTCTTCTCTGCCGAAAAATAATTTCAATACTTAAGAACTTTGTTCTTATGGGAGTGACATTTCTCCGATTTGCAGCATGGATGTGAGGAAAATCTATCTTTAAGTAGTCGGAGATCCATTAATGGAAGCCACTTTTTCAAAATACAGTTCAATGCTTCTACTCTTTTATTTTTTCATTTTTCAATATAATCAGGCTTTGAAATCTCTAGAATAACATAGAGAGACCATGTAAGGATTCCTACTTTGATAGTCTATTATCTAACTGACTTTAGGAGATTTAAAGATTTTACTGGACTGAACTCACAATTAACACAGATTAGGAATCGTCTGAGATTCAAATAAAGCTTCCTTCTCCAAGGTCTATTCTTCCTATGATTATTCCCTCCCCACGGCGTTGTCTGATATTTGTACCCCTTAGGTTTGATACCATCCAATTCAACAAAGGAGATTGCTGGCCGGGAGAGAAAGAAATAGGACACTAAATATGAACATAATTTTCGGCATTGTGGTGCATCTTTCGGTAATTTACAGGGAAACTAGAACCTAGGATGTAGGGTTGGGGCCCATCTTATTTCATGTTGAATAACACTGCAGCTTTTAGGTGGTACACACTATTCTGAAGATCACACGAGGATACACTTGCAACCCACTTGGATGAGGTTTGGGTCCCTGTGAAGGAGAAATTAGAAATCTTGTACGATTTCTTTTGCCTTTTATTTAAGTGATAAATAAGAGCTTTTCCCAAATTTATTTGGGAAAAGATCATACTAATAAGATTAGTGCCCTTCACAAAAGGTGATTTGATGCTGGATTTTTAGCTGTTAGAGTTTCTTTACATGGTCTGGCACGGGAGAGATAAAGTCGCACTGTACATGGTGTTATGTATAAATTCCTTGGTACAACTGCATATTTCTGTTTGTGGTATGTGATGTGAGAGAAGAATTGAGACATGGCTCTTGAGTTTATTGAGGTTCCCTATCAAAGACTTATCTTGTATATTTAGGTTACGTACTGATTGCCGACTATGTTGTTTCTTCTAGTATTTCAATATGAAGTCTTAGCAGCTCACATTATTCATTTGTAGATTGATTTTCTCTTTCCTTTTCTTTAGTTTTTTTTTTTCAACTCAGTCCCTTACAGCTTAGCTGATTTTTAATGTTGGATTCTTGTGCAGGTTCCGTATTGGTTGACTTATGATTTCCCACCAGAGGTCAGGGAAAAACTAAATCACCAATGGGGATCAGACTGGAAAGGTCAAGCACAAAAGTGGTGAGCGCACTGGGTAATCATTTTCTTTTGAGATGCATGTCAGATATTTGCTGTCAGGTGCAAAGATATGACAGAGGCTTAATTTGTCAGGGAAACAAACCGAATTAATGATTCTAAAACAAAGATCCAGTTACTACTTGGTTAAAATTTACCAAAACCTTGAGCACCTAGTCCACACAAGGTTCTTACTTCTCACTTCTAGCAGCTTTGATCTGCGGTTCATATTTTCTCAAATAGTTCTTGAATTTCATTTCTACAGCTAAAATTCTAAATTAGTAACTCACTATTATCTTGTATGAAGCACTTCTGTGAATCCAGCTTGGGAGTGGATATGAGCCTAGCATGTGTTGTCATGCATAGCAAGTATCAAAGTGATTGGATGCGGATAATTACCCGGTCCACCAGCTTTTGTTCTTCTCCGATATGAACTCTTTAAATGAAAACGTTTAGTGAGAAGTGAAAGTTCTTGATCTTCAATTGCAGCATGCAAAATAAGTATAGAACGACAATTTAATTTGACACAGCTTGGTGAAAGAGGGTTTCTACCCTGAGGGGCTTAAGATTGTAACTCTATTAGCTGCACTTTTTTGGATGCATGAGTTTATGTGGAAGTGTGTTGTTCACGTGCTCCCGTGTTTTTTTTTTATTTTTTTATTTTCCTCTTCTTTTGATTCCTTACCCCTACAGTTGAGTACTTGAGTTTGTACACTGGAGTCAACATCCACAACCAAAATCTTTCTTCGTTAACCCAACATATGTTAAATGGAAAAGTGATTGCACGCCTTTTTTTTTCAGAAAGAGCATTCCTCCCTTCACTTTTAGTTGTGGGGTGGATTTGTCTGTTTTTGTCATAAAATCAACCATTTGGTTTTCCATTGCACAACATTATCTACCTTCTGTAATTTCATTTAATTTTAATCATGCAAAAGTACAGGTTCCTCCTTAAATTTACAGGAAAGGATGAAGAGATAGATCTTTTGGGTGATGGAACTGAGAAGCCTGAGTTTGGAGAGTGGAAATGGATGTCACCGGAACAAGTAGTTGATCTGGTGGGTGCACCTTGTTATCTTGAATATTATGCTCGTCTAATGCCAGCATTCTGCTCTGGTAATCTGTTTCAAACAGGTAGTCTTGTTATCTAACTATAGCTTTTACCCACATTTTCTGTGCAGGCAGTGGATTTCAAGAGGCCTGTTTACAAAGAAGTTTTGACAGTTCTCTCCCCCCATCTTGAATAAAGTTCATGATGTTCGAATTGCATAGTTGCCCGAAATGGATGCTATTATGACTTCATTTTGTCAAGTAAAAAGCCATGGCAACGTGGGCTATACAACAGAGGCAACCAGGTACAAAAAGCTACACGGAACTGATCAGACCTATGTGGCATACTGAAAATCTTGTTGGGAGGATGTTTCTTTCTCTTCCTGTTGTTACTTGGTGCACGAAATCGATTCTCACTGGAAAGTAAAGTTCTCTAAGACTAGTTATCAACTTCAAGTTTTGCTTATCTGGCCGAAGACTACTTGTTATCAACTGCAAGTTTTGCTTATTTGACCGAAGACTACCTGTTATCAACTGTAAGTTTTGCTTATTTGGTCTTTGGTTTTACCTATCCCATCATAATGGTTGAATGGCTCCTGGCATAAGGATTGTACCCAGATGTTTCAAAATCCGTTCAGCATAACATTCGTTGAGCTATAGCTGGGTGGGTTTGACTCAGGTTGACATTGGGTGGTAAGTTGTTGGGCACTCCATTTATTTGAGTGTTTTCTTTTCGAAAATGGGGGGCATGGCATGTATAGCTCTTTAAAATAGTGAAAAAAATTAAATCAAATTAAAAACAAATCATTACCAAGTTGTGGATGATGGGAACAAACTCCACATATGCATCAAAGTCGAGCAAAGCCTAAATCAAATAAGGTCCAGGAAAGGAACTGAATGTCCAGCCAACTGGACCATGCGACAACTGAAGCACTTGACTTAGCCTTCAGGCCAACAATGATACCTTTGGCAAGGGATTATACCTCCCATGGTGAGTACCTGAGTTCAAGTGGGAGAGGAAAATTAAATACCTAGTAGGGGCTTCCAAATAACAGAATCAGGGCATCTCATGTCAGTCAACGGTTTTATGTACGAGGTTCCCAATATTGCAAGATAAAAAACCTCTGATAGAAATGTTTCAGCAAGAAAAGAGAACTTTTTATCATTATACTTGACTAAAATTGTGAAGTACTATAAAACTGAACGGTCAAATGGGTCTATCTCCATGAGATTCAAAACTGCAAATGCAAAAACCTCCTTAGAATCAAATAAAAGTTTTGTAGGCTAAAAAGGCAGCCGTGCCACAGTATCTTGATGCCAATGCCTTTCCAGAAGAGGTTGGATCAGAGAATGCCAGCTGAGATGTCTTCAGTGCAAAACCCTTGCAGAAACTTATCCTGCAGAAAGTTTGACAAACACATAAGAATAAGATCAATCAACTGGGGTTCTAATTTATGTCACGACTATGAATCGACCGGGGGCACTTGCGTAAATGTAAATGGTGCCTCAACACCAAATAAGATCAAAAGAGCCTGAAAAAGCAAATGGTGGCTGCTGGTAGAGTGCTGTCATCGGAACACATGCCTAATAACCCACTTTATCAAAATCCACTACTAAGCCACTTATAAAATGTCCTATCACTTGTCTCAGCTCCATTTGCCATAATAATAAGAATCAATTCCGGAAAAATGACAATAATAGTGGGTGAAAAATTAAGTTGTGGTGATACAAGTGCTTCCCTTAACTCCTGAATCAACCTGACAGAAAGAACTTCAACACCTGATTTTTAGAGAAAAAGCCGATACATGCACATATCAAATTAAATGTGACATGCTATCTCTTAGAATTGGAAAATTCTCCAATGGAAGAACTTGAATCAGCTATATGACTGCTAAAATTCACGTATGTTCGCCACAGTGGTGTACAAAAGAAATAATCCTGGCTTTTTTCTCTTTCTAAACTCCTCCTTTTGGTATCATTGAGAACATAATCTCATCTTCTGAGTCTGGTAAAGGAGGATATGCAGGTGACTTACCATTTGTAATAAGCAGTCCAAATTCAGGTACACAACTCAGATGTCAGCTATGATTTGCATATGGGCATCGGAGTGGGAGCAACAGATTGGAACTACAGGGGTCAACCAACCAACGGAAAAGAACAATTTCTCGTGCTGAAAAATTGCATTATGTGTAATTCACATGGACGGTTTGGAGAAAGAAATCTACAAGAAAAATATGTTGATTTTTTGGATCTAAACATGTTCCAAAATTTTCAATTAGCACTAGCAATAGATCAAATAATACTATTAAATGAGTTACAAGCTAAAGTTTGTGCTAGTGAGAGCTCACCTTGCAGCATCCAACAGTTGGCTGGCTATGCGTTTCTTTCTCATGGCTGGTGCAACCCAAATGACTCTAATCCCACATAGAGCAGTTACGGCTTCTTTTTCGAGAAATACTGCTCCCATGAGGTCTGCTTCTATTGGCTTAGGACTATTTGCCAAAGGAGCCCCTTTCACAGCTTCCCTCTGAAAACTAATATCTCCAAACTGAAGTGCTGAAAAATTTAAGCTATTTTTCCTTGCAGTGGTACCGCCAAGGCCTTTTGACATGACCGTGTTTGGAAGAACCCTGTAGGCACTTTTAATCGGTTCTGCTACTAGACAACCAGCAATCCTATGATGGGAAATAAATAGATATACCTACAATCAAAAAGAGAAAACAAAGCTGACTTCAAAGAGACATCTCACCCCGTCTACATCATCTGCGTAACCAAATGGAAATACATGGTTCCCACCTTGCAAAGCTTGTGGATAAGCCATCCAATTCCAAGCTCCATCTCCATCATCTCCACAACCTTCTGGACCTGCCAAAGCAGCAGGTATCTCCATTAAGACTGCAGTTAATGATGCACTGATTCATATCAGAAAATTTATTTCATTATTGGAAATGCAGTAGATAANTGGATTTCGTTCCCGCCAGTTGAATCTTCAAACACGAGCCCCGGATGGAATTGAATACAAAATTCTGATTTGATTTTCCGATTAATTTTATTTTTATAATTTTGATCATACCTAAAATAAACTCCGAGCGCTAAGCTCAGGAGTTTAACTCGGACCAAAAGGTCAGACAAATTAAGAGATTAGAGGGTAAGAGCTAAGCGTCTTTTAAGACAAGATAATAGTTAAATAACCACGAGAAAATCTTAAAGCGTTAGGAAGCTATAATTAAGATACTCAACCTCAACCAACTAATATCTTTTTCTACAATTAAGGAGAAGCCTACGAAATAAGGGTAAGAATCTTGGCTAAGATCCTTCTTAATAGGGAATGACCTTATAAATGCAAGGCAATACCCCGTAACGGAGGGGAGAGGAACCCTGGGGGCAAAAAAAAGTCATAGCAACCTTGTAATCACCGTGAATAAAATAAAGGGAGCAAGAGCCTCCATTCTAGAGTGAACTAGCCGAGCTCTCAAGCTGGTAAACCACTATAATTCTGTTGTCTTAACTTCCAAAGCCCTGGATATTACTGCATCATTTTAGCAACCTAACGTAATCCCAGCTCATCTTTGGTAAAAAGTGCATTAACGCCATCAGTTTGGCGCCGTCAATGGGAATGACTGTTCCTGTTACAAATAAAGTTGATTTTTCAATGACTAATGGTATCAACACGAAATATGAGTTGAAGTCAAACCAATCCTTTACGGATGCAAGATCAACAGGAAGCCGCAAATAACAGACAACTCGAACATGTGCAACAAGCTGATCCCCCTATGGGGGCATTCCCATGAATAATGAGATGAAAGTCCTTCGCCTAGTCAATAAACATCTGATAAAATAGAACAAAAGAGTTCTTAAAGCTCCTACAACGCCCACAGGAGGCTAGATCGGCCTAAGGAGGCCAGAATAATCCACCACCAAGGGAGCAACCGTATCTCGACTCCCTTAGAGAAGTTAATGAGGTGGGAGAGAATAGTCAGACCTTGGGGCAAGAACCTCGCCTACCCCCTAGGAATGGTCACAACGAGGAAGTGCAAAGTCAGTATAAGGAAGGGGAGAGGAACGATTTCTTCCCTTATCAATAGGAGAAAAGAGAATACCACTGGAAACAACGTTTCAAAGACATCTAGTAAGAGTTTAGCCAGATGAAGGAGGGAGTGAAGAGCAAGGCCCCAGTCACTATGGATGCCTTAGTGCAACAAATCGAATCCCCATTCACTACTAGGGTGTTGCACTTCCCTCTCCCACCTAAATTTAGAATGCCGTAGGTGGATACTTTTGATGGGACAAAAGATCCCGTGGACCACCTCAACACCTACAAAAACCAAATGGAGTTGCATGGATATCAAGATTCAGTGAGATGCAGGGTCTTTGCTATCACCCTGAAGGGCTCAGCCTTAGCATGGTTCAACAGACTCCCCCAAGCCTCGATTTCCTCTTTTAAAGAGCTGTTAATCTCGTTTGTGTCCCACTTCATCGGAGCTCAAACCTATAGGAAATCGAGCTACCATTTGTTAAATGTGAAACAAGGGCCTGATGAGAACCTAAGGTCTTATGTCCAAAGGTTCAACTCAGAATCCTTGAAGGTGGATGTCCCAGACCAAAAATTTGCTATTACAGCCTTCATAGTAGGTCTGGGAGTTCAGTCAAAAGATCTGATATTTTCCATCTCAAAGAACCCCCAGGCTAGTATGGCAGAGGTGCTTGCCAAAATAGAAAAGTACATAAATGGTGAGGAAGCGCTCCTCTCTAAGGTCGGGAGCTCTTTGTCGAGAAAGGAGAAAGGGAAGAAAGAAAAGAAGAGAGAACAAAGTCCCAGAAAGGAAAGAGAACGAGGCAGGTCTCCAAGAAGAGACAGAAAGCGTTCCTTGAAGAGAAGAAGAAATGTCAGGGATCGCCTCGGCCCTCCACAACTAGAGCTACAACCAAGGTATGCACCTCGACAGCTCACCCCTCTGACTGTTACGGTGTCTCAGATACTGTATGAGGTGANGTCTGAGAGTTCAATCAAAAGATCTGATATTTTCCATCTCAAAGAACCCCCAGGCTAGTATGGCAGAGGTGCTTGCCAAAGTAGAAAAGTACATAAATGGTGAGGAAGCGCTCCTCTCTAAGGTCGGGAGCTCTTTGTCGAGAAAGGAGAAAGGGAAGAAAGAAAAGAAGAGAGAACAAAGTCCCAGAAAGGAAAGAGAACGAGGCAGGTCTCCAAGAAGAGACAGAAAGCGTTCCTTGAAGAGAAGAGGAAATGTCAAGGATCGCCTTGGCCCTCCACAACTAGAGCTACAACCAAGGTATGCACCCCGACAGCTCAACCCTCTGATTGTTACGGTGTCTCAGATACTGTATGAGGTGAAAAATGAGAAGTTCTTAAGGTGGCCACCCCGGATGAAAGCAAACCCAGAAAAAAGGGATCCTACGAAGTATTGTGGCTTCCACAGAGACCATGGTCATCACACCGACGACTGTATCCAATTGAAGAAGGAAATAGAATTTCTAATCCAGCNCCGGATGAAAGCAAACCCAGAAAAAAGGGATCCTACGAAGTATTGTGGCTTCCACAGAGACCATGGTCATCACACCGACGACTGTATCCAATTGAAGAAGGAAATAGAATTTCCAATCTAGCGAGGGCAACTGCGACGCTATGTGGCCAATGATGATCAAAACCGAGCTCTCCCACCTCCATCCCCTTAGCATCAAGTACCAGAGCCACACCAGCAACCTATGGGGGAGATCAGAGTGATATCTAGAGGATTTGCCGGAGGAGGAGGGTCCAGCTCTGCCAGAAAGTTCCACTTGCGAAAAATCAAAGCCATAGAAGCTCCCGAAGTATATATTGTGTCTAAGTCTCCATGCATAGACATGGCTATCACTTTCTCAAATTCAAATNTGCCAGAAAGTTCCACTTGCGAAAAATCAAAGCCACAAAAGCTCCCGAAGTATATATTGTGTCTAAGTCTCCATGCTTAGACATGGTTATCACTTTCTCAAATTCAAATCTCGAGGGCTGCTAGCATCCCCATGATGACCCTTTGGTGGTAAGAACTATGGTGGCCAATAGGACTGTCCATCATGTTTTGATTAACAATGACAACTCGATAAACATCATTTTTGCTTCTGCTTTCGACAAAATGGATATAGGAAGGGAAAAGCTTGAACCAGTAAGTGCCCACCTATTGGGATGCTCAAGAGAAAGGGTGTTGCCCCTAGGGTCAATCTAACTCATCTTGACCTTAGGTGACCCACCCTGTCAAACTACAACAACTATGAAATTCCTAGTGGTTGATGCACCTTCAGCATACAATATGCTCCTTGGAAGACTCTCGCTCAATTCTCTAAGGGCTATTCCCTCTGCCTATCACCTTGTAGTGAAGTTTCCAATAGAAAACGAAGTTGAAGTGGTCTGAGGAGACCAGCGCATAGCACGGGAATGCTAAATGACATCCATGAGAAATAAGGAGGTTGAGAACATCTAATTGGATGAGCTTGACATGAGGGATGAACTCGAGACCATGCCAATACCCTCAGAAGAGCTGAAACCTGTTCAAATTGATGAGGAGCCAGAGCATCTTGTTTATGTTGGATCTAAGCTGAGCAAGGAGATCAATGATCTCCTTATCCAATTCCTGAAAAGGAATAAGAAATTTTTTGCATGGAAGCAAGAGGACATGAAAGGGATTGATCCCTCTGTCATCACTTATAAGCTCAGCATGAATCCAGCATGTAAGCCCGTTAAGCAGAAGAGGAGGAGTTTCTCCCCGGAGCGTCAGAAAGTCATCAACCAAGATGTCAGCAAGCTCCTTCATGCGAAAGCCATTTGATAAGTGAATTACCCAGTCTGGCTAGCCAATGTAGTCCTAGTCAAGAAGATAAACGAAAAATGGCGTCTTTACATTGACTTTACAGACCTCAACCGTGCTTGCCTGAAAGATAATTTTCCTTTACCCCTGATAGATTTGATTGTAGATGCCACTGCGAGACATGAGCTCCTCAACTTCATGGATGTCTTCTCTGGGTACAATCAGATCAGGATGGATCCCAGCGACCAAAATAAGACCTCATTCATAACTAAGCAAGGGACATACTACTATCAAGTGATGCCTTTCGGGTTAAAAAATACAGGAGCCACTTACCAGCACCTAGTGAATAAGATGTTTCAAAAACAGATTGAGACCTCCATGGAGGTCTATATTGACGACATGCTGGTCAAGTCATTGAAGGCAGAGCTCCACATTGGACACCTAGCACAGTCGTTTCAGGTCCTGAGAGAATACAAAATGAAGCTCAACCTAGCTAAGTGTGCCTTTGGGGTGTCAACAGAAAAATTTTTGGGCTTTATAATTAATAGCAGAGGGATAGAGGCTAACCTAGAAAAGGTAAAAGCAGTGTTGGATGTGTAGCCTCCCTCCAACACGAGGGAAATACAACGTTTAACCGGGAGAATAGCTGCCCTGAGTCGCTTCATTTTCAAATCAAACGACAAGTGTTAGCCCTTCTTTCAAGTCTTAAAGAAAGCCTTTTAATGGGATGCTCGGTGTGAAGAAGCCTTCAAAGCATTAAAAGAATACTTGAGCTCCCCACCTGTCTTGGTAAGTCCGTTAGAAGGTGAAGTACTTACACTTTATCTGGCTGTCTCAGAGTTCTCAACCAGCACAACGCTATTAAGGGAGAAGGACAGAGCTCAGCAACCAGTTTACTATTGCAACCAAGCTCTGAGGGGGGCAGAAAAAAGGTATCATAAAATGGAAAAACTCATTTTAGCCTTAGTGGCAACTGCCAGGAGACTAAGACCCTATTTCTAGGCTCATACTATCGAAGTCCCAACAGATCAACCTATGAAGCAAGTGCTGCACAAGCCAGAATCTTCGGGGAGACTAATTAAATGGGCCG